GTGTGTGTAACGGTGCCGCGGCCTCGGGCGCGGCGTTCCCGGGTGCGCGTGGGTGTCGCTGCCCGGTGCGGGGCTGCGGCGGGATTCGGGGTGAGGGCAGAGCACCCCCGCGCCGCCCCGCCGCCGGTGGGCGTGAGGAGACGGACTGGGCGGCGGGTGTGGGTGTTAACGGTGGGGAGCCCCGCACCGCTTGTCCCACGCGAGATCCTTCGCTGTCAGTCCTGGTGGGCGCTGTGGATTTTTATTCAGGCTGGGTGTTTATTAAACGGATTTTTTATTCATTTTCTTCAGTTTGTGATGCAGTGACATACCCGTACTGGTGTTCACCTTAATAAATAACCGGTGTAGTTCTGCGTTATAGGTGTTTGCTTTATTTTCTTTAGAAACTTGATCTAAAAAGACCTGGTGTGCGGAAGCCATGGGTTTGTCTGCGTCCTCCCCGGCTGCTGCAAGTCAGTCGCCAAATGTATCCAAGCAATATCAGATGGTGTCTCCGCCTTCAGAATGTCCTATGCATCAGGAAAAAATGAGTGGTAATTATTCTTGAAACTCAAATGAAATAAACTACATGGAAAACACATTGAAAAATATTTGGGGGGGGGAAGAAATGATTCTACAAATAAAAACTTGAGTTTTTCCTTTAGCGAAAATAGCTCTCAAGTAACCTTTCATGAAAAGGAGCCAGTTGTTCACCAGAACAGCGTGCAAGCTGCTTTGTCTGTAGAGACAGTAGGTGCTTGCTGTAGAACCTGTGGGTCGCTCCTGATTGTCGTGTTTTGAGGGGTCCTGCAAATTATTCCCATTGAATGGTACAGCCACAAAGGGTCAGGGAGGTGCAGGGGCCCCTGCAAAGACGGTAGTTGGGGGCAGGTGGTTTTTGCCAGAGAAGATGCAGCTGGAAAAGGGCACCAGATGGGTGGAATAAGATGAATGTCTGGAGGAGGAGAACGTCAGCTCCTTCGTTGACACAGTCAACACATTGATTAACATTGCTGTGGAGATCTTAAGTACAAACAGTTTAGTATAGAGGCCAGCATGAGGTGGGGAGCGAGCATTCAAGGCTACATAAGACGCTAAGATCTTACCATGCTGCTGGGTCCTAAAATGCAGGAAAGAGAGCAGTTAAAACTGTTGCAAAGCTCAGAAGAAAAAGTGAAATACCAGTTTGTATTTATGTGAGCGTTCAGTGAACTTTTTCCCATTTCCTGTCAGGTCTTAAGAGCTTTCATTTTGTAGCAAAACATATACTATTTTTTTCTGTATTTCAGGTTGTCCCATGCACATGAAGACTCCTGATCATAGAACTGAGAATGCAGACGATGTTCCTGCACATCAAGAAAGAGCGTATGAATTTGTAGCATGTCCAGTGAAATCTGGTGCATCTCAAATCAAAGATGACATAGATCCTAGCAACATGGTAACTTTTGCTTATTTCAGATGTTTTCTTCAGTCTTGTTTCTTCTGAAATACTCTCCCTAAAATGTAAATGCTGATACTGTCTAAGGTGGAAACTCTGGCAAATAATGTTATTTTTTAATTTTTAACACCACTTTTTTCATTTTGTGTGCAAATATTTGTATAAAAACAAGTTATGTATTATTTAACATTCTCTTCAAATTTACATCTTTTGATAAAAGGTGGTTTTCCAGTTTGTAAATATGTTTTGCTGTCTATTTCTGTTTGTTAGTTACATGCATGGTTTTTATGCTACAGTAGTGGGTTTTAGGTTCTGTTTAATAGCAGTATGGCTGAGTTCTGATGCGGGTCTCTCCGAGATTTCCTTTGATTTACAAAAAGCACTGCTCTTCTGAAAGTGGAAGTTTAGGCAAAGGGGTTCCTTTAGTCTTCATATGACAAACTTATGCAGAGTTCTGCTGTAAAAGAGAAAGGTAATTTTGGTGGACTTAAATAAAGGCAGAACTTCTTGGTAGCAGCTGATTGATTATGCTTTGATTTTTCTTAAACAGCATAACATAAAAAAAATTTTCATATTCTTGTTTGTTGTTGATTCTCCTTGTTTTCTAGATGCCTCCTCCTAATCAGCAGCCATCCCCAGGTCAACCATTTCCATTGTCAACTGTTAGAGAAGAATCTTCCATTCCTAGAGCACATTCTGACAAGAAATGGGTCTACCCTTCAGAGCAAATGTTCTGGAATGCTATGATAAGAAAAGGGTAAATACACTATGAATTATCAGATGGAATTTGTGAGTCTGAAACTCATGAAGTAATATCATTAGTTACTATTCATTGATATTATTTAAAAGTTTGTGGGCTCTAAGCAGTAAATAATTAACTAGCTCTTTTAAAAATTTCTATTTTTATAAACAGCTTTGATTTAAAGGGTGAGCTGGTCTCAAAGCCATGTCTTCTCTAGTGATCAGCAAGGTGATAGGGAGTGTCAGGCAATTGCTGCTATCTCAAGATTTTCTTAAAAGTCAGTACATAGGCGCAGACAAACTTTGCATGGTTGCCAGCTTTCATACTCAGTCGGCTTCATGCTAATCCTATAAACTGATAGTAAAACTTCTGTGTGAGAACATCTAACTTGACTTTGCAAAATTGCTAAAAACGTGAAAATTGTTTGACAAGTAGATGTTTTCAGTCTTTACAACAATGCAGTGCAGGCAAGATCTAACTGAATGCTAGATGTCTCCTGTGGCCTAAAAAACTTTCTGTGCTGCTGTTTCCTCATTCTTTTGTAATTACTTGTTTGTCATTCTGACACAGATCAACTTCAAAGGCAGATACTATTAAAGCAATAGTAATTCTTAGTTCTACGTATCAATATTGTTCTTAATATGTCATAAGCAGTCTATATTGAGCACACAAATTTTGATCCTGTAAACACTTAAATGTGTTCAATGTTATGCCTGTTGAAAAAGAAGCACGCACGTAGTCATAGTGCAGGGTCAGAGAGATGAAAGGCATTTCTAACTGTATGCAAAATTTATTGAATACAGGACTTCTGTGCATTAGGAATGCAAGTGGGATTTTTCCTAGGCATTTTTACGAATACCGTGGAAGTGCTGATGTTTGCACACCCTGATAACTTTCTGATACAGTTAACCTGTTAATTTAGCTAACTAGAATTTGTGGATCTCTATGATGATAACTTTGATAACTACACTTTTGCACAGAAAATGGAAGTAGTTCTCAAGATGCTTAAGCAGATGAGCCAGAAGTTTCCATACTTGCTTTGTGTCTTTGCATAAAACCTTAAATCTCTTGATTCAAAAGCCCATCAGATAAACTGAGGAAGGTGGAGTAGTTGTGCTGTAATGCTTGTAAGCTTTTCAAATTCTAATTTTTTAGGTGGAGGTGGAAAGATGATGACATAACAGGTGAAGACATGACCAACATCATTAAGATTCACAACCAAAATAATGAGCAAGCTTGGAAGGAGATTTTGAAGTGGGAAGCTCTTCATGCTGTGTACGTACATGTGAAGTGAAAAGCAAATCCTTTGGTTTAGCTCTTGCTTTTGCAGTTCTTTGAAAGTAGAATGTCTCTTTAGTTTTTGCAGAAATATTTTGGTGCTGATACGTCTCAAAAGTTATAGTCTTGTAGGAGCCTGCATTTTGATTAATATGGAGGAAGATTATCCAGAAGAGCTTAACTATAACTGAATAATTACTATGTTGATAAAACTGATGAGCATTTTGGTGGTGTGCATATAATGTGGATTTGGAGAAGTTAACTCTTTATTTTATCTATTTGGGAATTACTTAATTGAGATCTTTATGTCATGAAAAAAGAGATGTAAACTTAGATGAAAAGTGACTGGTGTAAAACCAGCTGTCACCTTTTAGGTCAGTATAGTCCCTGTTCCTAGAAGAGACAGACTAGTTAAGCATTCTGTATGTAGAAATTGTTCTCTGAAATTCCATGATCTTTGTTACACGGTAGTTTGGATTATGGTTTTCTGTTCTTTAATCTATTAAATCTGTGGATTAGATTTGCTGAGAACTGCTCTATTGATAAGTTAGAACAATGGTGTGAAGCATATCAAAGGTACTTTATCATACCAGCAGTCAGTGCTGTCAGAAACTGGGGGACTTTTCAAACCTTTGAAAAAAAAAAGAAAAGCTCGTTTAGGTCACTAGCAATTAATCTCTCACTGTTGCTCTTTCTCCTATTCAGTTTTTCTGTTGCTAAAACAAATTACCATAGTGTTTTAAACACTTAAAATAATACTGTTTTAAAAGGTAAAAATTATTGTCTTTTTTAATTGTGTGCACAGGGAATGTCCATGTGGACCATCACTGATGCGGTTTGGAGGCAAAGCGAAGGAGTATTCACCAAGAGCCAGAATACGTTCGTGGATGGGGTACGTGGGGAGGAAAGAAGGTCTTCCAGCTAGGTGGGAAGGTAGTGAGACGTGTCTGAAAATATGGTATAGAATTTATTTTACGATGTTTCAGAACTGGAATTGCAAGTTATAATTACCAGAAGATAGAAGTACTAGTGGGGATCTTATGCCAGTATCTGGATAAATAAAAAAATCATCTTAAATAGGACTTCCTCTCCAAGGTTCATAATATCCATTAAAATATCTACATGGTCTATTATCTGTCTTTCCAGATATGAACTTCCCTTTGACAGACATGATTGGATTGTTGACCGATGTGGAAAAGAAGTGAGATATGTTATTGATTATTACGATGGTGGAGCAGTAGATAAGAACTACCAGTTCACTATCCTTGATGTTCGCCCTGCGTTTGACTCTCTCTCGGCTGTGTGGGACAGAATGAAGGTAGCTTGGTGGCGGTGGACTTCGTAATTACTCCTGTGGTGTGTAGTCAAAAAGTAAACCACTTTTCTCCTAGACTAAGGATAAGTGAATACCAGGGCTTGAAATAGAAGTTCGCTGCAGCTATCATTATTTTCATCATCACCACTGTTCTTTGGGGGTGGGAAGGGAGGATGAGGAAATCCATTGTTAAGCACACTGACGCTTTATGGTGTTTTGAATGAAATAATAAAGTTACAGTAGCAAAAACATGTATCTTAATTCTCTTAAGAGCTGGGAAATCTGTTCTTATTTTGTCACAGATTCTGTGTAAGCTTGCATTTCATGACTCCAGTGCTGCACCAGATACGTGAGGTTTCTGATTCTGACTGGAGTTTTGAGTCTTACTTAAATAGTGAAGACTGGAAATTTCATACCTGGTTTCACATAGTTACAGTATTTGGATACTTAGATGATGAATAAAGGGTGAAAGATCTGGACTGTTTAAAACTGCATGTTTTCTTAACTATATAAACCCATGTATTTGTTTTCATATGGGCACTTTACCTGTTCAAATACATGCTTCCTCAGAAGACTTTAGTAAAGTTTATTCTGTTGAAGGAAGTATAGCGTAGTATGACTGTTTTTAAAGGTATGGTAAGTTGAAAAGGAGAATATACTCATGCCTTAATCTGCAATTTATCTTTGAACAGAAGAACATCTGTTAGAAGAAGGAAATTAGTGTCAGTTACTTTTAAAACAACATTTCTAAAATGAGATAAAATTGGTATTTAATGGCTATTTATTTAAGTATTGAAAAGGTTTGTTTTTTGATGTAAGAAAACTGTATTCTTCTAGTATTTTCATGTCTTTAATGTGTGTCTCGTGTAATGCATTCAGGACAGAATTAAGCCTTATTTAAAGAAACTGTCATGCAGTACATCTGTATTTTGTATCTTGGCTTCATCAGCTGTACCATAGCATGTTATTTTTACATAATAGGGAATCGCACAAAAGCGTATGACTGCACAGTCGTACGCATTTCTGCATGGTGGTTATAGTGAGACATATTACAGGTGTGTATATAACTTGGCTAAAAGGATATCAAAAGTGCCAAGAAATAAGGCTGATTTGAGCGTTAAGAGTGATGCGTGTTAATGTTGTGTGGCTTAAAGGTTTGATTAATGTTTGTGCTTAATAAGGGAAACTAACTTTTTTTTAAGTCTTCCACTGTAATAGCTTTAAATTTGCATGGCTTGGTAAATTTCAGGTGCCATATACCCCTAAATTTAAATTATTCCTCCCTTTTAGCATATATTACTCTTGAGAATGAGTCCTCTGTGCAAAGGGACGGAATGGAAGGAGTAAGAGAGTATCTTATTGTAGCTTCTCAAATGGGAGAAGCTTTCTTCATTTAACTTCACAACCTTAACCAGGAACCAGCTGTACATTCATTTTCTGAAAGTGGTTATTTTTAACTGACATTGGAAGGTGGTGTTTTTTTTGTGGTTTGTTTGTTTGGGATTTTTTTCTGAGGAGAAAGCCCCACAATGTTTCAGTCACGTAACTTCCCATTTTGGAAAAAATTATTCAGGGAAGCTTCCATACTTTAAGGTACTAATGGAGATGGATGGTTCCCACTTCAGAGGCAACTGTACTGCATGGTAGGAATAAATATTACCCAGAAGTCCAGAATCCTAAGAGAAAATGACGCTCTTACCCCATCCACTTTCCTCATTCCTTTTTCACCTTTTTAGTGATTCCTATATATATATAAATGAAAAACACTTTGGGGCAAAAAAAAAACCAACCTCCATCTGGGTAGGCAATGTATATATGGGAGAAATGTGTGAACTTGTATGAAGCATATCTGATAATGAAAGAGCTGCTCCTCTCTGTTCTAACAGTAAAGACTGAGGCTTACTGCTTTTTAGGGTGGGTTTTTTTGTTTGGTTCATTTATGTGTACATTTGTTAACTTGATATACACAGAATTCTGCATTTCTCAGAACTAAATACGGAAAAGGTACACCAATGTAGGAAGTGCTTCAGAAGCTTCAAAAGAACGAGTTTGCTTTGTTGATTTTGGAAGCATGATACTGATCAGTGCATTATGGAAATTGTAATTGCTGCTAAATCTGGTGAAAGGTGTCACATGCCACTTCATGCGTTTACTGTCTTCTGTTATGTTCCATCTCACATAGCTTCAAAATTGTTTTCTGTGCTACTGTTAATGAGATGTACTTTGTCATCAAACAAAAAGGAGAACCAAATAAATATACTTTTCTTAACTTTGGTATTTGGGGATCATATTTTTAGCTGTAAGAATTAAGATGAGGTCTTGCATGTGTTGTATGAGATTATAGTCTGTTACAACTAATCACATCTTTGAATACATACTACTCATTTATTTAGGTGAATACAGAACCAAAACCCAAGGACTCACTTCAAGTGTTTGGTAATCAAACCAGCAGCTCTCGGAATAAGAGCATATGACAACAAATATATTCATCCTGAGTCTGGCTAACTTCTGAAGAGAGGAATGCAAGGAATTTTTTTTTTTTTTAAATAATCCGTGAAGTGTAAATGAAAACAATTCATTTCTACCAGCAGTAAGACTTAAGGAAGTAAACATGGAGTTTTCTCTTTTACGTTTGGGTTACTTAAGCATGATGTTGGCAGTTCACTGTTTCTCGGAAGATAGGTGTCAGAGTGATTAGAATTCTAATGTAAACTTGAAAAACAGTAATGTAAATTGATGGTTTTTACCCTTTGGGAGGATGTTTTAACTGTAAAACTATTCTTTAGGCGAGATTAAAGGTGATGTATGTGTATGCATAAACACACACATTTATGTCCTTTCTTTGTAAGTATAGAATGGTACAGAGAGTTCATGAAGCTCAAAAAAGTGAAATATCATCCTGATCAGGGCCTTTCAGGGAATTCAGCAGGTTCAGCATCAGTTTCCCAGTCCTAGTCAGGCTGAAACAGAAGAAACAGAACGTCGGAACCCAGCATCTCCAACCAGGTTAACCTTGTGCACATGCAAAAGGGAAAATGTGGACACTGTCACTAAAGCAGGGCCACTTTTAAAATCAGTTGTGTATGTAGGTATTTAAAGTTCACCTGTGTTCTGCTTTACTGTGTTGAAGCCCTGCTTGACCTGTTGTGTTTGAGTTTTGCAGTTAAAACAAGTTAGGAGAGCTCTTCTGGTCTGCAGCTGAAGATGCGTTCTTCAAGGATATTGCGGTGCTCAGAAACTGCAGTCTCTGTGACTGATTGATGGAAAAGGACTCTGGCATAACACTCCAGCTGTAGGCAGGTCTTGGGTCATGCATATGTAGTCAGGAGTAGTACTGACCTTTATTACCTGGAGCAGGAGACTATTCTGCATTCAGATACCTGGTTTTGGCCTCTTGCCATTGCATCGCTTCAGGCAGCCAGTAACTACCCTGCAGTTGGGGTGCCTGGCACCATGCTGCCAGTCTAGAGGGGCACAAAATGTGGCTGCTGTGCCTACAACCCTTCCTACTTAGTAACATTGGCCCAGCTCTCTGCTCTTCTGCAGTATGTCCTGTTAGTATCTGGCCAACATGAGTGCCCTGTAATTAGGGAGTAATTCACAGGCTTGTCCTTCCCAGGATGCCTGGAGTTCCTGGCCATGTTGAGTCATCCTATGACATCTTGCCCTTGTACTAGCAGACAGTTTGGAAAGGGGAGAGCTGTAGCTCTTCTGTCGCCATTTATTTATTTATTTATTTATTTCCCTCTCCCCTAGAAACAACTTTGCTCCTCCCTTTCGTATTATGCTGGTGGTCCTAGCTTCAGAATTTTTCAGCTAAGCCCTAGAATTTCTGCCCTACTTTGCTGTAGAAGAAAGAGACTGTATTGCTGGTAAGAAGGTATTTGTGTCCATTGTTGATTATTGTTATTTTTTACTGCCAAAGCAAAGTGCTCTGGATTACCATTTTTTAATTATGATGTGAAAGAGGTATGCTAGTTTAGTGTGAAATGGGACAACAATGCTGTCTAATGTTTGCATAATGTATTTACTATCAGGACTTTAATGTGCTCTGTAAATAATTATTTAAAGTCTAAAATACGATGATGAATATTGTTCTGCCTCCAAAAGGTGTGAGAGTGGCAAAGGATCTCTCAGTTCTCTGAAAATGATCATAAATAGTCTGTCATCTTATGCAGTCCTATTTTGTTCATTCAGCTCTTGTGTCAAAGTGGGGGGGAATAATAGCTAATGTGCCAGAGTTCAAAAGATGGAGGCACAGACACTAAGGTTGTTGTAGCTCAGCTGCTAAAAATGAACCAGTAAACTAAGGAGCACTGCTTAATTTTTGGACTCTTACTAGTGTTGTGTTCTTTATAGAGGGTAGAGATGCCCCTTTCAAAAACACCACTCCTTTGCTTTTTAAAGAGATCCGTCCCCAACATTTACTAAATTAAATGACACTTTAATCCTTTGTCTCCCTTTGCTTACACCTGCTGGAAAATCCTTGTAGTAAGGTTCCACAAGCAGATGTACTTGATGTGGAAGCTGAACTTACTTTGAGGAAAGAATATACTACTCATAATGCTAGCTGTGCTTGTGTCTTCAGTATCACACCCTTCCCTACCCACAAGTATGTTTACATAGGTTCTTTTTAAAAATACACAGCATTTCTAGTTTTCTACAAATTTTTAGTAGGCAACTTCATGCATTTTTACGCTCACTATTTATTATTCTATCTCACTTTCTACAAGGTAAATTGCAGGCAAAGATCTATGTGCAGTGAATCAAGTAAGTATTGATTTTCTCAGCAATGTTAGTAATAATAGGAACCTATGGTCATACCAGATATGACATTTTGTAAAAAGCATCCTTTTTAGTTTGCATTAGATGGTTAATCACTTTTATGTGCATTTCCTTCAAGAAAAAATGGCTTGCCAAACTCCTAGAGAAAGAATCTTAAATTCTTCTATGAATGCGACAGTTGCATCTATTTGGTCTTCTTGTACGTCAAATTGTATAGAAACTTGTGGGCAGAGTAGTAGTCTTGAGTCCAAACCTAAACATGTGGCCGTGAGCATGTGTGAAATGATGCATTATTTACCAGTGAACCACTGATTTCAATGGCATCTACTCACAAGGCATGTCTGTGTATTTGCAGCATGGGTACATATTTTTATGACTGGAGTCTGAATTAATCCAATTTTCAAAGGATAACGAAAATTTATTGGAAGTATTGGGATTATTATTAGGCCTCATTAAAAAAAATTTAAAGAATAGATGGTTTCCTTTGCTGATGTTCAGTTTGGACCATGGCCTCTCTTACAAAATAGAAACCATCACATTTGTTTTCAACATATTATGGCAACCCCCCCAACTATTAAAGACTGAATAATGATTTTTGTTTTCCAATGTTTTGCCAATTTTGTGGTAAGTACAGAGTGGTTTAGCTATTTTTCTAACATGCTGCTGCTCTTGCCTCCAGCTTCTGGGGACTGTGACCCCATAAACCTCCTGTCTATAGAGACAGCTAATGCTTTAATTGATCATTAGTAGACTTTCAAAATGAGTTTCCATCTGCCAAAAGATTAAGTGTCTTAGGGAATTGACTTAGAGCAGTTTGATGCATGGAGGATAAATGCAAGTGCCTTTAAAATGCACTGCTAGACCACAAATCCTTGAAAAACTTGCTTCTAAAATACTTAAAAGGAAAAGTACTATAAAAGATTTTTCCTCTGATTTGTTTTTTCTCAAATTAGAGAATGCTTTTTTATATATCAATGAGAATTCATTAGCTCATTTTCAAAAACCAGAGAGCAAAACCTCATGAAAATGTTGAATTTAACCTTAGAACAAACCATGCAAATTTTGGCAGTTTTAATTTGCAATGTACATTTTGTGTTAAATGAATTTATTCCAACTTTAAAAAACACTTGCTTTGGGCCAAAAAAAATGATGAAAACTTTTTACTAGCTGTACTTGAGAATACTGAGGAAAAACATCTTCATGTTTTATCACAATTTTCCACAATTATGGGGTTGCTTCTCCTGTTTTCTTTAAACTTTTGCCTTTTAGCTTATTTGGAGTGATTTTTACAGGTTTTCATGTTGCTTTCTCTCTGCCATTTTGTACAAGCCACTTTTGGGAAAAATTCTACCATTGCGATAACACTTACAGTTGTTACTACAGAAATAATGGTTTCTTTCTGATGTATCTGAAAAATCAGTGCTATTTAATGCAGTTAAGAACAGTTCAAGCTGGTAAGAATACCATTCTGGCTGCATTAGGGCTGTCAATGTTGTGGCAGAAAATATAGGAACCGCTGCTGTCCTACAGCAGTGCAGAAAGATGGACGTGATTTGTGTTGCATAGCTTAGCCATCGCACTTAGCTGCGGTTATGGGTTCCTCGTTAGTGTTTGTCTTGTGACCCCAAAATGGGCAACTGCAGTGATTTTTAGACGCTTCCTAGTGGTCCTTTAATGCCTTCTAGAGTACATGCTTTTAGGACGGCTTACAGTTGCGGTAGCTGGGACCGCAGGGTGGCTGGCATGGAAATGACTGTAAAAAGATGTAGATGGATGTTCCAAATTGTCTCCTTCCCCCCCCCCCGCCCCAATGTCTGTCTACTCGTCCCTTATTGGCCACTTAGGTTAGAGGAAAACAGGTCTAAAGGCACAGTTTTATATATAATCACTAGTGGTTGTCGACACAACACCTAATTGATTTGGGCCATAATTATAGTGAACGGAAAGCAAAGGATACTACTTTTGCAGATGACACTGGGAAGATTAATCTTACATATGTATGAAAGGTTGCATTCTGTTTGCCTTGTCAGGCAAAGTGGAAAATAGTGGTATTGTCAGTGGCATATCGATTTATGACATGATGCTGGAGCTGGTTTAATATAGGCTGACTCTAAAAAGCAAGATTTTTTTTTTTGAACTTTGCCACATGTTGATGGGAAAGCATCCCTTTAGAGAAATTAATATGGCTAATGTTATTCCATCAAATACTGCAATGTTTGAAGAAGAAAAAAAAAAAATAAAGAGGGAAAATAGGATCTTGACTTCCAGTTTAATAATAATGGAATATAAAGGCCAGATTGTAACTGTAGAAGTTCATTTCAAATTTAAATATTTAGCATTTTCACTAGTCTGCGAATACAAGAAAATTTATTACATTAAGATGGAATTTAGATCTTTGACATGAAGCTGATATTTTCATAGTGTGAAAAATATCAAGCTGACATTATACTGTCTCATTTGATGACTTCCAAATGTCAGAGTGCAGTAACTTATTCATAGGGACCTCAATGTCTTGCGATAGTGTCAATTTAAAAGACATTTACATCGACTTTTTTATTTAAACATGTAAAATGGAATATGCAAAGTGGATGAGGAGAAGGGGGAAAGACCAGGGGCAAGAAAGTTCTTAACAATAGAATGAAGCACTTTTAAGGCTAATTTCTAGTGAAGCCTTGTGACAGCTGCATGGACTACTACCTGGCAGTACTTCTGACAGCTCCCATCTTCTTCCCCTTCACGTTATTTCCCTCATTCCCAGCTCAGGAATTCTTGTTATTTCAACAGAATTTAGGGGATTAAAACCAGCAGGATATGCTTTTCTGAAAAAGTAAACAACCCATCCCTTGCTTTTAAAAGCGATTTTGTAATAATGGCAGATATTGAGTGTTTCCTCTGAGATGATTATACCTGGGAGTTAATGATACCATTGGCTGTCGATGACCTCAGTCAGATGGCTGTTCCCAGGATTACGAAGCCACAAAAAAGCATGCACTTGTCTTCTAGTAAAACTTTCTGTATGAGTGTGTGTGGCTGCGCTTCACTTGGTTGTCTGCGCCCCGAGGACGATCGGGTTATTCGTTTCTGTGGGCCAGACTGCCGTGCAAAGTTGTACACCTAGGAAGAGGGAGGGGGGCAGAGTGGCCCGCCATTTTGTTCGGCGCCGAGGGAGAGAGGCTCCCGCCACCGCTTCTGCTGCTGTCCCTTGCCGCTCGCTACCTCGGAAGCTGCCGGGCTGCTCGCCACCGCGCCTGCCGGAGCCGAGCGGCAGCGCTGGGCGAGGCCGCTGCAGGGCCGGGAGGACCCCGCC